ACCTATCATCTAGGATAGTTAAGACTTAAGAGTAGTGGAAACTATGAATACCAAACCTTTTAGCAGCTTTGAATTGCCATGGCTTGGAGTTCAATTATCAGGCACTTACTGTGTAAGCTTGCTTGACGGTGACTAAATTCATTATTTGAAATCCCTTTTGCCATCATGAAAGGGTTAGTCACTTCGGAAATCTGAGTGAATCAGAAGAGAAAAACTAGTAACTGAAGGGTTCCAATTAAGTTCTTTGGAAAGCCATTGAGAATAAATGGATAGGACTTTTCTTACCCCTTTTGTTCCCAACTAGACTGGTGAAATTGTGATTGGGACCTAATAAATCAGTTCTCAGCTTTTGAAGACAATATAAATTTTTAGTGTTTAGACTTTGTGAAAACATAAGACTTGAGATGGGTTGGGCATATGTATCGAGTTTCATAGACAAGATTTTATAGAAACATATATATGTGGTTAAATTCTGAGCACATTATTAACATTTGTTTTCTTACTTAGAATTTCAAATTGGGAACTCTATTTGCCAGATTTGGAGAATGATCTCAATAATTATCTGCAGTGTACATGAGGAATTTAGAAGTAATCAATCATCTCCTTTTAAAAGAAAACAAAAACCAAAACGTTAGCAACTTGCTTCCTGTTGGCATATTTGTGTTTTCCTTTTTATTCTATTCTTGTGCACTTGTTTTCTCTTTCTGCATCACTGGTAAGTACAATTTGAGATCGAGAGGCCGATAACATTCTGAGAAAAACCAGACTTGCTTAGCTCTTCCCCCTTTGCCATTTTCTCCTTGAGAGGAAGGTAGGTCTTCCTTGTTGGGTCTTCCTGATTGGCTTGAGTGCTCCGGAGTTTGTGTTCCTACAATGGAACATCAGTGCTCTTTCATGAGGGTGGCCTAAAATACAAGCCCCAAATGTCACCATTCTGAGCACCACATTTAATGACGTGTCCCCAACTATCTTCTTCCTGTGGACTGTGAGTAGGTAGGTATGTTCTTAGCTCTGACAGCTGCCTTCAGCTGAGAATTCAAACTGCAACCTGAAGCACTTGGTTTTAGCCCCTTGTGGTCTCCCTTCCCCCACCACCCCAACTCCATGGGGAATACAGAAATATACTGGGATTCATGTTTATTTTATTTTATTTTTTTTAACAGGCATTCATTCAAAGTGACTTGAGATCACTGGGTAATTGCAGCTCAGTGCAGAAATTTGATGCTAGGAATACAAAATGAGTGATGGATCTTTGATCATCAGGAGCTTAGAGTTTGGAAGAAATGTTAATTAAATAGGAACCTATATAAATGTAAAACTGGAAATCAAGGAAAGGGTTCTAAACAGAGGAGACCTGGTACCCAAAGATACCCGAGAAAGGAAATGCATTCCTGAGGATGTAACAAGAGCTAGAATTTGAAGCATGTCTTAAATGGAAGAAAAAGAAAGAAGCAAGGAAGAGGGGAAAGAAGAAAAGATGGAAGGAGAGAGAGAGAGAGAGAGAGAGAGAGAGAGAGAGAGAGAGAGAGAGAGAAAACATACTAAGTAATAGATGGGAACCCAAATACCCACAGGAGTAGGTTCCAAGGTCCTGGGATAGGATAGAGTCTAGTTGGTAAAAAAGATATAAAGAAGGGCAGAATCACTCTACGGAATGCATTTCCTTTCTCAGGTATCTTTGGGTACCAGGTCTCCTCTGTTTAGAACCCTTTCCTTGATTCCCAGTTTTACATTTATATAGGTTCCTATTTAATTAACATTTCATCCAAACTCTAAGCTCCTGATGATCAAAGATCCATCACTCATTTTGTATTCCTAGCATCAAATTTCTGCACTGAACTGCAATTACCCAGTGATCTCAAGTCACTTTGAATGAATGCCTGTTAAAAAAAAAAACAAAAACAAAACCATGAATCCCAATAGATTTCTGTATTCCCCATGGTGTTGGGGTGGTGGGGGAAGGGAGACCACAAGGGGCTAAAACCAAGTGCTTCAGGAATGAACTTGAGAGATGTCACCACCAAATGTCAGAGAAGCTGCTATTAAAGATGGCAGCCTGAAGCATGTGTCCTTGAAACTTCCTGGATATACCCAAAACACTGAAAGCAGGAACTCAGGTTTTGCACATCCATGTTTATAAGCAACATTATTCACAGTTGCCAATAGGTAAAAGCAGCCTCATAGTCATTAATAGATGAATAAATAAACAAAATATAGACATATACTGAGTTGTTAGTCTTAAAAAGGAATGAAATTCTGACACATACTATAATACATGGGTGAACTTTGAAGACATTCGGCTAAGTGAAATAAACCAGACACAAAAGGACAAATGCTGTACAATTCCACGTATTTGAAGTATGTAGAGCAGTCAAGTCAACAGAGAAAGCAGAATGGGGTTGTGGGAGTCATCCCTCAATGGGTATGGAATTTCAGTTTGACAAGTTGAATGAGTTTAGTTAGGAGACAGCTAGTGTCAGTGGTTACATAAAGCTGTAAATGTGCTTAATGCCACAGAACTGTTCACTTAAGAATGGCTAAAATGGCAGATTTTATGTTATGTATATTATACATCACAGTTTTTAAAATTTAGATTTAAAAAAATCACTGAGAATTCACTTTGAATGTCACTTCTGTACGCATGACTTGCTTCAAGTGGCATGAAAGAATCAAGAATTTCCTTCTCTGCATGAGTTCAAGTCTCATGTGAGGGCCTCCTTTGTTAAGCTCTAACCTGGAACCATATAGAAGAGGTTCTGGAAGGTGAAAGTTATTTTCTTCTCTTCTGCAAGAACTTTTAGGTGGGGTCTGATAGAAAAGTTACAAAATATAAATCAGGGTAGAAATTCCTTTGCCAAGTCAACTTCTGTTTTTCTTTAGCAACACTTTTATGGTTACTTTCCAAATGAAGATAAATACAGCATTATATATTTACTAACATGATACAGTTATTCTACATCAAATTTAAGGTGTGCTCACATTCTTTCCAAAATGGAGACATGAAGTTACAAATCTCTGGTAATGTTTATTTTTCTCTTAATTTAGTCACAATGCACACTGGATGTCTACAACTGAAATATTAAATTAGAGAGTTAAGCATTATTTGTAGGCCTCATATTAATACAGGACAATAGGAAATGAATAAATGTAAAACATGCACACAGAATTTTTCTGAGAGCCATTGATAATAAATGCATATATGTAAATCTATGTTTATATATGTATGCATAATGCAATAGACTTCATTTCTGCAGCTGGTCATGTGATCATAGTATTTGTTATTCTCTTCTTTCCCATGCCTTCTATGTCCCTTTTGCCTTCAGCTAGCAAGTTAACTGGTCTTGAATATTCATATGGTAGGGTGACCCAAACTCTCTGGATTATGATCTTGTTGCTGTCAGGTTTCTGTAATTTTCTATTAAATTTTACCAGCAGACATTAGAGTACTAAAGGTACCCGAGAGAATTTTCTGGGTTCAAGATACATAGTTATCATTCTCTCTCTACTTAACCCTCTACATTAGGATCAATCACCCAAGCCAGTATAGGGACTTCCTTCTGTGGTATGGCATGGGAAGTTTCAAATTCCAATGCTATGTAATCCTTAATATATGGCAATGATTACATAACAATGTAAATGTATTTAATAACAAACTGTAAACTTAAGAATGGCTAAAATGGTAGTTGGGCACAGTAGTGCACATCTGTAATATCAGTGGCTCAGGTTGCTGGGGCAGGAGAATCACAAGTTCAAAGCCAGCCTCGGGAACTTAGTGAGGCCCTGTCTCAAAATATAAATAAAGTGGGTTGGGATGAGGCTCAGTGGTTAAGCACTCCTGGGTTCAATCCCTAGTTATTGCTCCTGCCCCTCCCCAAAAAGAAAGATTAAAATGATATATTTTATGTTATGCATATTTTACCATAATAATTTTAAAATTAATGTAAATAGCAATAATCAGAGCCTAATGTTATGGAAATAAGAAGCAAACCCATGAATAGCTGATTATTGGGAGAAGGCGAGAGGGCCCACGCTTATCTTCATCCCTTGCTTCCTGGACTCATACTCATATTTTCCAGCCACAAAAATCACTGCATTAGCTTTTCATTACTGTGATAAAATGCATGACAAAAGTATAGTTTGGGCTAAAGAGTTTTAGAGTCCATGGTAGGCTGAGTCTATTACTCAATGCCTGTAGTGAAGCAGAACAGTATGGTGGGGGCGCTTGGTAAAGGAAAGCTTCTCAGCTAATGACAGCCAGGAAACACAACAAGAAAGCACATGAGGAGCCAGGACAAGGTATAATCTCTAATGTCATGTCCCCAGTGACCTATGGCCTCCACCCACACTCCACTTGCCTACAGTTACCACGAAGTAGTTCATTCAAATTATTAATCCATCAAATGGATTAATCAACAGATGAAGTTACCGATAGTACATAGTATTGGCTACTATTTCAAAGTATCTACTTATTCTTTAGGGAAGTACCCCAGGTTTTTAAGGTGTTTTCTCCCTGCTGGCATAATAATTGAATCTTTTGTTGTAACACAAGTGAATTGCAAGGTTATGAGTCCATTTCCACAATTAATGTCTTATTTAAACAATTCTTGGATTGGAAATCATACTATATTGAACACAACTCCAGTGAATAAAGCATTTCATTAAGTCCAAAGTTAGTGATATTGTCAAAAGTTCTGTGGTCAGCGAAATCAAATCCATATACAAGGCCAGGGTTTATTCCAGTAAAAACATCTTTTTCTTTCTTCCATAATGAAGATATCCAATATTACACCCCCTACTTCTTCAAATCCCCCCAAATATCCTTCCCAGCATGCCAATGTTCTATCATGGGCTAAATTTTGGCATCTGCTATTGGGAAGTAGAACTGAATCGTGGCTATAGGTAGGTAGCCTTGATGTATAGAGAACTGTCGATGCAGTAGAAGTAGTTGCTATGGAAATCTGAGGCTCTTGCTCATGAAATTTAATTATACCTCAGAATCTCTTTAGGTCTGTTATTTATATAATACATCCATTTTATGATGGAATGCTGTTGTTCACACCCAAATGTATAGCATCGTGGGTCAAATAACTTCAGTTCATGGTAAGTAACATAGGACTCCTGATACCTGTATGTCCTTTGGTCAAGCATTAAATTTCTACCAGGAGACAATAGCAAACACAGAATTATTTCTCAAGTAATATGAATTATCTGCAAAGGAGAACATGGCTTTGATCTTCATTTCTGAGGATTTCTTACTCTTAGAGTCTTTGAAGTTCATTTCTCTGTGTTGTAATCATTACAGGTACTAACATGAATTGGATCTGCTGTGATATATGAACCAAATGTCAAAGCAACTTTTCAGAGCCTGAGTCTGATGAAAAACTTCTCTAACTGTGTGATCCTCTCAGAACTTCTGGATATACAGGTTGCTGGTGAGTAATTCAAGCAGAAAGCATACCCAAATAGGTTCTATAGTTTTACCTCCTCAAATCAAAGAACTGTGCGTCTTTCTTAGTGGTAGATTTAGCAAAATGCAACAATTTATTCTGCACCTTGATGGTGATATCTTGGAATGTTTCAGACCACTGGAGTCCTGAAAAAATTAAACTAGATGGCAGCATCTGAATTTTCACTTTTTCATTTTCTGATCTTAGGTTATAGGAGGGAGACTTACAGGATATACTTTTAGAAGCAAAGCAAAGAATTATCCAAGGGAATTTACTAACTTTTTATTCAAAGAGTGTTCAATTACCTACCTCTGTCTTAGGTACTTGAATTGGGTGATAGCTATGACTCTCTATTCTATTGATTCAAGTCACAAAACCATGAGGTCTAGATTACTTTGTTTATATATATCAAGTAACATTTAAGTAGATCTATTTCAGTCTTAGTGACTTCATGTTAAATTAACTATGGGCAAACAGCTCTGGGGTTCAACTATTTTGAGGGCCTCTCTGGCTCTGAAGCCCTGTGGCATTCACACACACTTGGTCTTTGGTGGTATTCTTTTTCTGCTAGCTCTGCCACAGTGCACATATGGTATCTAGAAATCTCAGCACTAAGTTACAGAGTTAATCATTCTTAGCACACCTTAGATTTACAGAGGCAAATAGGAAAGGGGAGAAACATTCTACTTGATTTCTCTCACTCTGGGATTGTGTCATCTCTGTTGAATTCAAGGAGGCCCTTTGGACAGTGGCATTTCCCATTCTAATCCCTTATCAGTAGAGAATTGTCACTGTTATGGTTTGGATATGCTTTTGTCCCCCAAAAGCCCAGGTGTGAAACAATGCAAGAACATTCACAGGTGAAATGATTGCGTTGGATTAACCGAGTGGTAACTAAAGGTGGGTAGGGTGTGACTGGAAAAGGTCCATCGTTGGGAGCATGCCTTTGGAGTTTATTGTTGAGGGCCACAACCAAGTCAAGATGGTGCCTGTCAGTTTGCCAGGAGGAGTGGTTTGTGAGCTAACGCCACCGAGCCATTAAGATGATGGAGATTCCTTATTGGCTGATTGCTGTATCTAGATGATGTTAACTGAAACAAGCTGTGCATAATCAGTTAGGAATATATACCTCTGCTGTCCCATAATAAAGTGGCTCCCGCTGTTTCAACCTTCACAAGTTGCTTGTCCACCCCCCGGTTATTTTGCCCGGCCAGACTGCGGCAGTTTATGTTTGGTGAGCTGAGCTTAGCCTTTCTATGCTTCCCTCTGCCACACTCCTCCACCATGATGTTCGGATTCACCTTGAGCCCTGAAGAATAGAGCTGGCCTTCTATAGACTGAGATCTCTGAAATTGTAAGCCCCCATATAAACTTTTTCTCCTCTACCATTGTTCTGGTCAGGTCTTTTAGTTGCAGCAGTGAAAGAGCTAATTAAAATAGTCACTAAGGAACCTTTCAAGATGCTAGCTATCTTTGCCACCACATTTCTCAAAGCTTGGTGAAGCGAATACTCTCTGGGCCCTCTCAAAGGACATGAGGAATGGATAAGCAGTAACATGTGAGAAATCTAATCCAGCTTTCTAGTTTCCCTAATTTCTCAGATTCCTTCTTTTATACACACTTTAAAAGTTCTAGCATCTCATTTAGTGCAGCACAATGCTAATTTGGGCTTCAGTCAACCAACTTCATAAACTCTTAAAGCTACACAAAATTCTTAGAACACATAACCCTGCATCCATAATCTCTGGTCAGTATTTGCATACTAAATTTAGCTTAGTCCAATAACACAGTCCTTGTATCTCCTAGATCTAACATGGTCAGGATCTACTTCCATATGTATTTCCAAGTAACTACTAATAACATAATATATATA